TTCAGCTCCTCGGAGAACACTGTGAGTGCACTCTCTTTTACACACACACACACACACACACACACACACACACAGAGAGAGAGAGAGAGAGAGAGAGAGAGAGAGAGAGAGAGAGCAGGGAAATGCAATTGCCTCCTTCTGTCTCTGTCTCTCTCTGCAAAGGCAGAGGAGGCTGGGAGCCACAGGGGAAGGCTCAAAGAGCCGCATGCGGCTCCGGAGCCGCAGGTTGCTGACCTGTGGGCTATACCTTGGCATGCAATAGAAGGAATAAAAAGAGGGGTTAAAATGGATATGGTGTCTTATAGACAGCTACTCAGATGGGATGGACAAAACTGGCAGTTAAAATCACGGGAAGAGTTAGCACAAGAAAATATTATTTATTCTTGGTTCCAATATAGGCAATTATTAGACAGATGGAAGATGGACTGTAAGGTGGGTTTTCTCAGAGAAGATGAAAATCTTATTAAGCAAGTGAAGGATCAAAGACAAACCCACATTAAGAGGATTTATGGGGTTTTAGTTGAATTGGATTCAGAAACGGAACTAATTAAAGATTGTATGATTAGATGGGCGCAGAATTTTGGTGAGCCAGTTCCATTGGACACCTGGGAAACTATTTGGGTGAGAAATGTCAAATTTACACAAGCACAGAACTTAAGGGAGAATTTTTATAAAATGTTTTATAGATGGCACCTTGATCCACAAAAAATGTCTTTTATGTACCCTGACTTACAACCTAAATGTTGGAGATGTGGTTGTATGGACGCTACTTATTATCATATTTGGTGGTCGTGCAGAGAGATAAAAGCATTCTGGATTAAGATATGGTGGAATATCCAGAGAATTTTTAAAAGGAGGGTAAAATTTACTCCACAATTATTTTTGTTAGGTATAGTTATTGATTGTGATACAAAGGAGGTTATATTGATGTTAAATTTGATTACAGCTGCGAGGCTGTTAGTAGGACAATATTGGAAGAAGGAATCTTTGCCTACATTGCAGGAATGGTTTCTTAAAGTGTCTCATTTGGCGGAAATGGCAAAGATTTCGGCTTTCTTAAAGGGTCAAACGCAAGAGAAATTTCTTGCTGTTTGGGATAAATGGATAAAATTCATACAATTTAAATTTGATATAAAAAATACTATATAGTTTTTTCATAATTTTTAACTTTATATATATATATATTTTCTATTTTATATTCTTTTTTTTATAAATATAATTTTTTTTAACTTTTTTTAATTAAGCCTATATTCTGCTCTGGGAGGCCCTGGGGGGGGGAAGGGGGGGTTTGGGTAGGGGTGGGGGAAGGGGGGTTTTGTTGGGTAATGTTTGTTTTTATTTGTATATGTTGTTTTTTGTTTTTGTATTGTCTTTTATTTTCTGTAAAATTTATAAAACTCTAATAAAAAAAAAAAAAAAGAACAGCTTTCAGACCCCTGCTTTTCCACTGAAAACTCTCTCCCATTCTGGATGTGTGTGTGTGTGTTCCTGTTGTTCTTACTTCTTCATGGATCAGCTCATAGAATTTTCATAGATAATTGTCATAAGACAACTCTCATGGCTCTGAATCTGCTCCCTTTCTGCTTGCAATAACCCCCCAATTAATATGATTATTCATCTGATTTCCAACTGTAATTAGAAAATTTATCACACACTAAAAAGGTAACATTGCCTGACTGTCACTTTCCATCAGCTCACAGATGAGGAATGTGAGAGAGTGCACTAGGATGATTGTGGGAGAAGATTACAGGGGCCTCCTTGTGTGTATAATAATGAATTTGTTCACCATATCCCTTTGTGTTTCTGTGCAAGTATACAGCCTATGACAGTGATGGCGAGCCTTTTAGAGACTGAGTGCCCAAACTGCAACCCAAAATCCACTTATGCATCGTCGAGTGCCGGGTGGGTGTGGCCCATTGGCTGGGCATGGCCAATTGGCTGGCGTGGCTGTAGTGGTAACAGCAGCCTGGGTGGGACTAAAAAGTTCAATCAATCAATTCCAACTTTGCAAGAACTTTTTTTTCCCGCGAGAAGTTGAAATTGACTGATTGAACCTTTTCTCTTTTTTTTGCACATGGTGGTGGAGGCCTAAAGTGAAAAAGTTTTATAAAACCCAGCTGAAGGCCTTGGTAGCCCCTTGGTGGGGCTACCAAAGGCGTGCCCACAGAGAGGGCTCTGAGTGCCGCTTCTGGCACCCGTGCCATAGGTTCGCCACCACTGGCCTATGAAAATACCATACTTCTCCAAGAGCATTGTCATCAGGGGAAAGGTAAAATCAAGAAGCTGTACTCCAATGGATAATGGAAATATAAAATGTTTAAGGGTATCATCATCTTTTCATTTAATGTAATTACAGCTTTGCAATGATGATTAATCATTTCTTTAGAATCTCATGTCTCTGTGAACTTTTTTTATGGCTCCAAAAATTCTTTCTACCTGTTTAAACTGCTTCTTGATGCTGACTTTGCTTTTACATGTCACCCACAAAGCAATTCATTGCCAACTGTTAAAGATCAGAACACAAATCAATCCTACTAAAACTGTTTCAAGACAAGAAAGCAATTGAAAATATCAAATGAAAGCAGGTGAAAGGTAACAAAAATATATTTCTTCTATTTCTGATATAATAAATATTTGTAATTATTCCATTTACACAAATATATTTACCATTACAGTATTATGTATTTTGTTGTGTGTATAGTCAGCATTGTTATAGCAGACTAGCAGTATAGTAGATTAGCAGTTGACATCAAGAAGTCAAAGGTTTGCCAGCCACTTTATCTGCAGTTACTAGCACCCTCTCTGATCACCACCACTAAAAATCAGTTACTTATCTGCCATTTTAAAGTAGAAAACCCATGAGAATGGAGTATATATTTTAAAATATGCTTAACATAGTTCTATAAATAAAGTTATTTATTTATTTAAAGCATTTTTATAGGTGCCCATCTTATATCAAACTCTGGGCAGCTTCCAATCATTTATCCCCATAGAGGAACAAATTAGAAAATTTGTTCCTGCTATATGCATGATACAGCTCCATCTATTCTGCATCATTGCTCCAGCTTCTGTAGCCCATTATGTTCCCAAACAATGTTATATAGGCATATCAGCCATCAAAAGAATGCCCATTCCTACAGGAGTCAGCAAAACCCAGCACTGACTATAATGAACCACACATATTTTAGATATAAAAGTGTGTTTTTCTAATAGCCTATTTTTATTGACTGTTTAAGGATGTATTATGAAATACATTATATCAGTGCTACGCATCCACTAGATATAAGAGCAACCGTAAATCATACATAGCCCCAGAACTTTTATGTTATGAGATATCTTGGCTGGCACAATTATAAAAGATTTCCATCCTGAAAAATAATCTCCTATGTTTGAAACCATTAATTAATTCTCTATAAAATAATTGGAACAAAAAAGCAAAAATGAAATCAAAGCAAGGAAACTGAATGCCAGTGAATTCCACACAGCAGTTTTCTACTCAAGAAGGTGTGGTGCTCATCGCCTGGAGACACTGCTGTTTTTGAAAATTTTTCCTTTATAAGAGTATAGCATTCTTATAATTTTTCTTATATTTCCTTCATACAAACAATACCAGTCATTTTCAATTATAATTATATTTTTCCTCTATTAGCAGAAATCTTAAATGTCCTGCTCACAACCAGACAATGAAAACATTTTTCACCTTAACTTATATGGAATCAGCCCTTACTTCGTTTAGCTCAGAACTATGTCTATAGATTATTTATAATTTTTAGCAGGAACTTTGTAAGCCTACCTGAAGGGCAAGGCTAGAGCATATGTCATTCTATTATTGTAGCATAGTTAGTAATAGTTTTTCTGTTTTTCCCAATCATTATTTCATTCTGATGCTCTTCCTCCCTTTGTTTGCAAACTACACAGTACATATCTTCATGTGTGATTTCCTAATATATCCATTTTTGTATTTATGCATTTTATTTTCATAGTTTAAGTTTATTAATATAATGCATTGTGTGTATTTTTCCTTAAGATGAATATTTTATGTTCAGTTTTTGAATTAGGAACTTCAGTGACAAATTTGTAAAATGTATGGATTTAAAAACCCAACTCCGTGTTACTTAAAAAAAAAAGAAATGTGAATTACGAATACTTACAGATCAGTACCCACAAATGTGTATGTCATAGATCTTCCATCATACATCACTCATACTTTTCTCTCCAATTTATATAAATCCACTTTCCTGCAACTAGCTCATCCTCAATTTAAGTTAACTAGAAACCATCATATCAGGGAGTTACCTATGCATACTTTTTTCCTTAGCTAGGAAGTCCTGAATTAATGCCATAACTAGATTTTTCCCAAAAATATGAAGGCAAGGTTCCACATACCTGGGAATGAGCACTACAGAAAATTTAAAATGATTATAAATCTGAACTTTTTGCCTAAATGTCATGTTTTACTTGCTGAATACACTGTGCACTTCAAAGTTACTTCTTTCTATTTGCTGTTCCTAATTTTCCACCATCATTATTTGATTATTAAATTATATACTGGTATATATTTTATAAAGAGAAAGAAAATTTAATGCTGTGTGACACAACCTAACATTTTTCCTCCACTGAGCTAGTTGAAATCCAGTTAGAAACAAATTCAATTTTTCTACAGTCAAAAGAAAACATGAATATATTGAAATTATTTTAATAACTGATAATGTATTATATGAGCCGTATTTTCTCCAGCTGTCCCAAAGCATTGCTTTCAGTTACACTAGAGTCTACAGACTTATTTTTAAAAGCATTTTTCACCTATGTTAAATATGTTTCAGACTATGCATTTTCTACATTTATAGAAAACTTTCCCAATCTTGAGCTATTTCAATGGGTTGAATTGCAATTTGCATATCTGAACTGAGAACTACAGCCCAACACATAGATTCTGACTATAACATGTGAAATCCCAGGGTGGAAATGGCTGTGCTATAATTTAATTTATTGTCACTTACTTGGATTAGAAGGTTGAAGCAGAAGAACTGCTTGCATACTGTGAAGAAAGAGAAAAAAGCCAGTGTTTAATGATATATTTAGATACATATAAACAAATTTGCAGCAACTACCTTACATTATTTTAATATCCTTCAATGTAAGATAACTACCTGCATTATTGCCTTTAAATTTGAATGTTGCTAAAGAACGCAAATAATAGTTTTGGTTAGTTTTGTTTTTAAACCAACAATTACTTTTAGATAAAAGATCAGTCACTTGCCCTGTGTCAGCAAGTTTGCATTCTCATTCAGCTTTTGACTAAGATTTGCTTTGGAAACATATTAATAGATCTCATCAACATACAGTTCATATAGAAGTAGTACATATGTAGTAGAAGCCTATTATCTTAATAAATTGAGGAAATGAAGGTTCTACATTGACAAATAAGCATTTAAAAGCATGATAGAATGCTTAGAAGATGGATGTAATCATATCCAAATATTTGATTTCAGTCCTTGACATTCTGCAGTATCTTGTCCTAGATAGCCAAAGAAGAAAAATTAGTAATCCTGGGCAATAAAAAGAATATTTGCTTCTGTACCCAATATGGCAATAAAAAGAAAATACCATAGTTCTGTTTCTTTTTTTAAAATCAATCATTTACATTATAATGTACTCTTAAAGTTGCTTGGTTCACACACTGCAAGTAGGCCAGAGTTTGCTGAATAAGGAGTAACTGTCTGAATTCACACATTGTGCCAAATTATACCAAATAAATCACAGCCTACAAGGCTCAATGATCAAGTTCACATAACCCCCAAAAGAAAAACATTTTATCACTTATTATAATATAAGTATCAAGGCAGAATGTTAATCAGAAGTACATAATATTTTAAGTTATTATTATTTGCCAAGTATGTTATTTGCCAAGTATGTCTGGATAAACAGCGAAACATTTCAAACCAAGAAAGAAAAGAAGTATAGTTGCCATGACTGAACTTCCAGGTAAGACTATCTGGATAACTGAGCATTTTCATTGACTTTTGCACTGTATTTGTATCTTTCCAATTTGAACCAGATAAAAAAAAACATAATATGCTTTATTATTATTACCTAAAATAGTTGTACAACAAAGACTAAAGCAAAAATGATTTAAAAAGAACAAAAGCTAACTGAATGAATATAATACATTCATTCTAAAAAATAATAATCAATTTATGCATATAACGATGTTCTACCAAGAGCTAATAATATCATAACTCTAGCAGGAGTTTAAAGTAGCATCATTTGCAATATCTGAACTGTTTATCTAATACAAGTTCTGGTTCATATCCTAAAGTCAAGATAAATTTAAAAATGAAAAACTGACAGGTTATTAAAAAGTATATAGACATAAATAAATATATTAGTTCAATAATACTCTGAATGATATTACATTTTAAATTTTCTGCAAAAAACATTTCAAATAACCCTGAGTTCATAATGTAAGTACTGATTTAAATAGAAAAAATAAAATGCTAAGGATAGAGAATTGGATCAAAATTTAATCATATCTATCCAGTAGTAGTAGATTAATTACTACTACCCATTTTATAAACTAAACTCAAATTGCATATATGTAAATATGAAATCTATAGGCACTTTTGTCAATAACACAGAATTTACAATCAATATACCATATAATACTAGCACAAAACATTCTTGCTATTGTTACTTCAACATGTATTATAATCTCCCTTTGGCAATAACCACCCAAAAGTTTGATAACAATCGTCTTTTTCCTTCCCAACAAAGACTGAACTAGCTTTTATCTCTTCCTCTAGCCTGGAAGAACTCACTGATACAAAAATTAGGTCTGATTTTGGCTTCAGACCTAAAGCAAAGAGAAACAAACTGTTTTGTCTTAAGGCTGCACTGTAATGTGGTAGAGCATTCAATCTAAAAGATGCTCCAGATGAAGAATATGACATTAGGGAAGATGTTGTCTATTTTACTAAACTAATTAATTTCCAGACAAGATAAATGGGAAGTATCTCAGATATTTCAACAAAGTTGATGTTCAATGAAGATCATGAAAATTTAAAATCTGCACCAACTTTTTATAAAAATGTAATGACATATACAGAATTTTGTAGACAACAAAAAGTAGGGAGGTAACAATCAATACCAGTCAGTATAGATTTGGTGAGTGCATTTCTGACATTAATCATTATTATTACAAGAAATGTTTTAGCTGGAAGAGCTTTAAGCAGTTAAAAAATCATTAATCACAGTTATCACAGTTATCTTTGCTATTCCTATGTCTTCCTTTCACAGAGAATTTCAATAGCCATATTGAGTAGCTGCTTACTACTGCTAACAGCCTCTAGCACTTGCTCCACTTGCTCCACTCCTAGCTGAATCAACAATTTGCACACAGCTCTTGTTTCCTTCTCTGCAATGTCTGAATATGTAAGGCAGACTGGCAATGATAAAGCAGCAGAATGGATCATTATGAGCAATAATAGGAGGCCTAGAAGAGGAAAGCACTGTGCTCTAGCATTGTTGCTGAAGGATGTAAAGCAGGCATCTTGTGACAAGCACTTCCTGCCCAATGTCTACAGTCCAGTAACGGTCATCACTGCTGTTCCACTGACTTGGCCAGACTCTTCTTTCTCACCTGCAAAGAACTGCAAAGAAGACAAAAAAATATGTGGCTCACTGTTCTGGCCCTCTGCCATTACCCAATATCAGATGGTTCCTGCTGTTATTAAGCTCAGTAACAGCAGATTAGACATTTTATGTCTTCTTTTTCATTTGCTGTTTGCTATGATTGGAAAGGCAAAAAAAGGCAGAGCAGAGTAAACATTATTTGTGAAAGTGAACCCACATCTGACATTATATATTTAAATTTTCAAACAATTTGTGATAAGAGTCCCTCACCCAAAATACTTGGTTAAACTAGGTTTACCGATAGTAGTAGAGAGTAACAAAGTTGACCTTGATAGAAATGTGCTAGTACCTAGAATTATTTTTTAAAAAACCTCTATGAAACAAGAAAATATCCCAAAATGGATCAGGCAGACATTTTCCTGTGATTCAGTGGGTATAAGAAGGGGGGGGGATGTACAGCACAAACAAACTATAAGGTTCTGTTATTTTAACCACTTTCAATAAAAGCACTTTTCTTCCTGCAAAGTCAGCTTCCTGATTTGGTGGAGCTGATATAAATCTCATTCTCTTTCAACAAAGATTGACCATCTAGCCCTGTGGTGGTGAACCAATGGCATGCGTGCCACAGGTGGGACGCAGAGCCCTCTCTGTGGGGACGCGCGCCATCACCCCAATCCTAGCCCTTCAGTGCCGTCCATAAGCAACCTGCATCAATACCCGTGCAGGGTAAGGTTGCTGCGCCCGCCTCTGCCTCCCCAAGCATTTTTTTACTAACCTGCCTTTCATTCCCTTTCTCCATTCGCTTCTCAGCCTTTGCCACTTGTTTGTGGGACTAAAAAAAAAAAAAGTTCCATCAGACTTTCTAACTTCTCACGAGATCTCCAGAAGTTAGAAAGTCTGATGGAACTTTTTTTTTTTTTACCCATAGTCCCACAAACATGCGGCGAAGGCTGAGAAGCAAATGGAGAAACGAAATGCAGCTGAAAGGCAGGTTAGTAAAAAAAAACACTTAGGGGAGGCGATGGCATCTGAGAGGGGGCATGGCAACCTTACCCTGCATAGTGGGAGGAGGGTGGGGCACATGCCCTTCCTATGCCAGGCCAGCCCCTGCAGCCCCAGGGTGGCCATGCTAGGCAGCAGTGGGCAGAGCATTGAGGTGGGGGCTGGCAGGCCAATCAAAGCAGCAGATGGAGCGCCGGAGGCTCAGGGAGACAGGGTGCTGAAGCGTGCAAGGAAACAAAGGACTTTTTTTTGGAGAAAAAAGGTCAATCAATCAATTCCAACTGCAATCTTTCACGAGAAGTTGGAATTGATTGATTGATTGACCTTTTTTTCCCCCAAAAAAACCTTTTTTTTGTTTCTTTGCATGCAGTGGTGGTGGCGGATTGCAAAGGAGCAATGGCACGGGACTGGAAGTCAGGTAAAGAAAGAAAGGCAATTTCTAGGAGAGGGGGGAGTGAGGATTTCTTTCCTTACCTGCCCCACTTCTTCCAAGGCTGCTTTTCGCTCAGACACATTGCTCTTGCCAAAGGCCCGACCGCCCACTTAACCGCCCTCCCTCCCCGAGTCTCTGGCACTCCACCTGCTGCTTTGGTGGCTCTGTAAGCAGAACTGCGAAGTTCTCTTCTCTGTCAGAGAAGAGAACTTCACAGCTCTGCCTACAGAGCCACCAAAGTTGTAGATGAATGGGCAGATGAGGAGGGAGCCTGCCCCACTTGTTTCACGTCCGCTTTCGGCCAAGCCACATTGTGTGAGGTGGCAAATAGCCATGTTGTGCTGAAACTGACCGTTTGCTGCTTCCTGTCCAATACCGCTGCCATGAAGCGCCCCTCTGGCTCCTGGGAGTTGTGCTGGCATCCTTCGTGCTGGGCGTCCTTTGCGATGAGTTTCTGGAAAGATTTGTGACAGAGGTGGATGCGATGCGCGAGGTGGCAAGTGGCCGCAGTTGGAGGCAAACAACCACTTCGCGCTGAAACTGGCCATTTGCCACCTCCTGCCCAATGCCGCTACCATGAGGCCACAGAATAAGCCGGGTGGTGGTAAGAAACTGGTATACTGGTTCCTTACCTCTGCCCAGCTTGTTTCACAGCCTCATGGCATCCGCATTGGGTGCAATGTGCAAGGTGGCAAACAGCCACGTCGTGCCAAAACCATGGGGCTGGTAGGCTGTGGCTGCTGATGGACACAGTTTGCCCCTATGCGCTCACTGTGTGTGGGAGCCGATGGTGTCAGGCAGCAGCTGCCCCGGTCCCTGCCTTGCCTTGCCTTGCCCTGTGGCAATGGCACCCCTGCCCTATCCCCTGCCTCACCTCGTCTCACACCGCAGGACAAGCCTCTGTCCCACCCGCCAGAGACCCCCTGGATCTCCCCCAACCCTGTCTGGTTCCCACAGGTGTCCCTCCTCATGAGCAACATTGAGGTGGCCATGTCCACCCCAGCCATGCCCACCTTGTCTGCCGTGACCACCACAACCAAGCCCACCCAATGGGCCACACCCACCCAAAGGGCCACACCCACCTGGCACCCAATGATACATAAGTGGGTTTTGGGTTGCAGTTTGGGCACTCAGTCTCTAAAAGGTTCGCCATCACTGATCTAGCCTTTGTTAGTGGAGATGGCTTCCAATCTTCAGGGCACCCTACCATCTGCTAAGCATCTTGCTGCAATATTGTTGTAACACCAACATAGGCAGATTTCTAAATGATGCATTTGCCATATGCCATGATGCAATTAACACTATAGTTGAGAAAGAATTTACATCACTAAGCATCAGCACAACAGCCTGCAGCATAGATTGAATTTCTGTGTTCTCACAGACTTTATCCAAGAATTCATGGGGAGATGAAAACCAATTCCTAAACTTCATGAGTCAGCGTGATCTGTTTTTAGTGAATTACCTAGTAGAGTTTCCCACAGATTGCACCAAGGTGACTTTTGGGCTGAGTGCTGGAGAGAAAGAAAGATCAGAAAGAGATGAAGAAACACAGGCAGTAGCAGGAAGGAATGGTGATTGTAGTAACCACTTGTACCACTTGCATTATAGGACCTATTTAATGATCTTGAGGGGCTTGTGACGTAGGAAAGAATAGTAAATACTCAGATAGCATAGGCAGCTCACAAATACTAGGTAATTGACCTGAGGCATGTTGTATATCTTTTTTAGATGCAGTACACAATGACAAAATACAACATCAAAGTTTGAAACAATAACAGAATACTTTTTTTAACAATCTGACATACAGCTTAAATGTAATTACTTCTCTTACCTGAATAGCCTTTAGAATCTAAAATTATCATTCTTGCTTGGATTTGAATAATATAAATTAAACATTTATAAATATTTGAATATGTAAAATAAGGAAGTATTGATTAAGCCCTTGTGCATATTACTTTGAAAGATAGTATCTTGTGGTTTAATTCTTATTTGGCTGAACTGTTAAGTTGGAATATAATTATTCTGAAGCATTAATAGGCTTTTGTAGCAAGTTCTATCAAAAAGTCTTACACAGAATATTGAATTGATGTATGGCCTTCCTTATAGATATACTGTATAGATATACAAGCAGTCCTCAGTTTATAATGGCAATTGGGACTTCCATTGCTAAGCAATGATGGTGTAAAGTGCAATATGACATGATTACATCACTTAGTGATAGAAATCCAGAAAGTCCTTTGTTGTTGTTGTTGTTAATTGCGAAGTCGTGTCCGACCCATCGCGACCCCATGGACAACGTTCCTCCAGGTCTTCCTGTCCTCTACCATCTTCTGGAGTCCATTTAAGTTCACACCTACTGCTTCAGTGACTCCATCCAGCCATCTCATTCTCTGTCGTCCCTTTCTTCTATTGCGCTCAATCTTTCCCAGCATTAGGCCCTTCTCCAGTGAGTCCTTCCTTCTCATTAGGTAGCCAAAGTATTTGAGTTTCAACTTCAGGATCTGGCCCTCTAAAGAGCAGTCGGGGTTGATCTCTTCTAGGACTGACCGGTTTGAACGCCTTGCAGTCCAAGGGACTCGCAGGAGTCTTCTCCAGCACCATAGTTCAAAGGCCTCAATTCTTTGGTGCTCAGCCTTTCTTATGGTCCAACTTTCACAGCCATACATTGCAACTGGGAAAACCATGGCCTGGACTATACACACTTTTGTTGGCAGGGTGATGTATCTGCTTTTTAGTATGCTGTCTAGATAAACTCCTAGCTGGCATCAAATTGGGATTCCCATTGGGAATCCTGGTAAGTAATGTGGAGCGTTGCAGGGAGTGGGGCAGATCTTGGGAGGCCTAGTGCAGACTGCATGCAAGTTGTGGGAAGGAGGTTGCACGAAAGGGATCATGGGTTGACACAAGAACAGGAAGGCTGAAGGAAGGGGTGCAGGTAGGTGCAACAGCCAGGAGACTGACAGTACACAATACACGGTACAGGACACAATATGGTGTGCAGGAAGGCCAAAGAGACTTTGTCACTTTCCCTGCAAGTTTCTCTATTAGCTTTGCTTGGCAGGGAAGGTAGTAAATGGCAATCAACATTGCAACTGTTATAAAGGCAATCTGGTTACCAAGCACTCAAATTATAATTGCATGATGATAATGGTGTTGTGATAGCTAGAATTTTCAGGACCAGTTATAAGTATCACTTGTTCGGCACTATTGCAACTTTAAACAGTCACTGAACGAGTGGTCGTAAGTGAATATGACCTGCAGTAAGAACCTAAGTGGAAACTGACTGTGATTTATCTGGTGCTCATTTTCACAAAATGTCTTTTAAGGAACTAAGTAAGTTAAGAATAAATTATTTACCCTATCTGAACTTGAAAAACTAATATTTTGTCAAAACTACAAAAATGAAACTGACTTTCCGTACTATATATATGTGGGGTGGAAGAGGGAGGAGATATAAGAAAAAAATCTCAGGACTGTATTTTCCCCACTTTGTCAAAATCAGCTTAGCATTAATTAATTACATTATTTTCCATTTCTCTTTAACAAGAGTGTAGAAACTACTACTTAAAAAAGTGGAAATATTTATAACACTCACTCCTCCCCCCCCACACACAAACACTTTTCATAAGAAACTAAAGCAAACAAATAAAAAAGATTTAAAAGGTATGCAAGTTTCTTATTTACTGTTTGGTAGATGGTCTACTGGCAAATCCAAGTGCACTAAGCATAGGCTTCCAGTATTTCCTACTTTAAATACTTTTGGTAGGTTGTTCTTAATTCAGAACACAGTGTTCTTGCTAGAATCCAAAACATACTTTGATGGGGGAAAGGAGGGAGGCAGACAGGGAAATAAAGATTCCCCTTTTTTTGTTTTTGTTGTTCCAAAACCTCTGGTTGTGAAAAAGTTTGACTTCATACATACATATGCAGCCAAAATCTTTGGATTTATCACAACATTTTATTAATTTCAAGAACCCTGTATTTGTGGATTTTTAATATGAGGGCTACTTATTTTCTTTTCTATATTTCCACTATTTGCACAAACGTGTTGAGCATGAACATGAACATGTATTTACAGCACTTTAAAAAAAACTAGAGGAGTGATTTATGCATGTTGATTTCATTAACACTGAAGGATATTTCACTCACATACACAAACACTCACACACAGGTAACTATGCAACAGGAAAAAAACACGCAAACATCCCAAAGAACAAGTCTTTTGTGGATATTTTTGCTTAGCAAAAACAAAAAATAAGAAAAAAGAACCCCTACAAATTTGGTTTATTTCTGAACATTTTCATATTTTTGCTTGATGAAAAAAAGTAAACTGTCAAATTTGCATTAAACCATGGGGGGAAAACCCTGGCAACCAGTTTCAAAACCCAGCTTTAGATAATATAGCAGCTTTGATTTTACCAGCAGTATTCAAATGGAAGAAACCTAGTAAACAAAATATAACACAATACTAATCATTTAAGAATATTTTCCTTTACATTTTATTTTAGCTGAGTTCAAATTCTGGAAAATAAGGCTCCACAGTTTTCAAGCAATAGAGAATCAACCTAAAATGCCACCGCCATTTTATAGATGTTATAATGTTTAAATAATTATAATTTAACTCATAAGAAAATCAGTCCATCTATAAACAGAAAAATATTTATGCTATACTTTATTTTTGGTTCAATAGCTCAGGTAGAGGGACAGGGATTGTTAGCTAGATGAACATTCAGTTAATTAATATGCACCATGTAATTTCAACTGAAAAAGGGGGGGAAGGGAGGAAAGAAGACAAACAGCAACTTTTGTCAGACAGCTCCTTTTTTTCCTCGCTAGGTCAATGTTTTTCAAACTTGGCAATTTTTAAAATGTGTGAATGTCAACTCCCAGAATTCCCTAGCTGGTATGTTGGCTGGGGAATTCTGGAAGTTGAAATTCACATTTCTTAAAGTAGCCAAATTAGAAAAACACTGACCTCCAGTGTTACCCCCTTTTCTCCTGAGTATATTTTCTCAGGAAATTTATGGAAGGTGGGTGAGTGGAAAGGATTAAAGGATTAAAAATGGAAGACAATGTGATCTAGATTTCTTGTAACATGAGATTGAGGAGACTGAACAATTAAAGTGTAGTCTAGATGTATACATTAAGCTTAGAATCGACAATATTCACCATTAATGAATATTTACAGCACAGTTGAGGCAGAATAGACCCAAAAAAACTGTAATGAATGCCCTATAATAACTTCAACAAGTTTGAGAATCACAATGAACAACAATATGCATCCACATTAGTTAAATCCACTTTGCTGTACCAAAATAATAATAATAACAACAACAACTTTATTGTCACTTTGAATGTACACCAATTGGCATACATCAAAATGAAATTTCATTGCATACAGCTCTCAAAGGATCACCACCTCCGATATACACTCCTTATTCGTGGCCAGCTCAA